ATCAGTAATCAGCCAATATACGTAAGAAATCAAAAGATACAACAGAGAACTACTCTTCTCTGCCAGTATGGTATTCAACTAAAATATGCTCCAGAGTTCCTTCTCCAAAGTAGGTGATTTTATAATAATCGGAATGGTCGTAATTCAAAATTCACATTTTTCTACTTGTGTCAGTTTAGCAGTCTGTGACGACATGTTATGCCTTTGTATTTTAGAGGGCCGATATTCCTTTAATTGGCTTTTAAAACTCTGCCAATTTTCCACAAATCTCTTTTAACGTTTTCAAAGCAACTAATTCCGCCTTTTGTCGCGAAAATCATAAATAAGTTTAGACATTTCCTTGGTTTTAAAATTCAGCATTTTAGTGTCTGAATAAAGGTATGTGTCCACCTTTCTCTTATCCTATTTTTGTTCTTGATTTTACCTAGGATAAAGTCAAACACAGCATAAGTCTATAAATTTTACACTAGTTAGGTTCATAAACGTTAGTAAAGACTGTCCATTACTGTCGATATTATAAAAGTTCCACGTATTATGCTTCATATTTAAATCACGGGCAATCAAAATAGGTCAATTTACTTGAGGTAGCACTGAGAGATCATGATCGCGGATGACATTTGACAGAGAACTGTACATGTAAATTAGGGTATTTTACTGTATAGGGGATTTTATCTAAAGTTTCTTGGCGGCAGTTGCTTCAGTTGTGACAGAATCAAACAATGCATAGCTTGAGAATTTCCCACGATTTTTGTCGACTGATGATGCACCTCCTCCTTAATTTTGCCTTCTGTCGTCTCTGAGAACTTAAAAATCATGAGTCCAAAATTTATCATTTGAATTAATGTGTGGTTCATTAAGTTCAGTCTACTGTATGCGCAGATAGTAAGCAATTTCAGTAGTGTGTAATTTCGAAGTTTTCCTTTGATGTCATCTGCGGTAAAGAAGGAGATATTTAAGTTTCAATTCCTTGCTCTTTCGTTAGGTTGGAAAGCTTATTGATTACACTTCAAAGCCATAATCATCGCTTGGAAAATAGACGAAAACTCCCATTCCTACTTTAATTTTATTCGCTGAGAATTTGGTATGCTTTTAATTTTGAAGATATTTCTTGATCTAAATAGAGATTTCCTTTAAAGTTGACAAGATTTTTTCTCGTCTGTTCTGTCGTTTCCGAGAGAAGCTTTGAATTTAGCTTACAATATTTTCGGTGCCCTTTTATGTGGCTAAGATGCTGTTATTCGGCTTGCTGGTAGTTGGAATGAATTTCTCTTTTTCGCCAACAGCTAGGAAATCATAATCCTTGCTGTTAAATTCCCTAAGCCCAGAACTTCTACTTCTGGAAGAATTTGGTACGGGGTTGTGTTCGTTTGGCTTAGCTGTTTCCTTATATAGTTTCATATGAACTATAAGCCAAGAATATGTGTTATCTTGTAGATTGTTATACCATCGCCTGCAAACTACAAAGAGAAGTGTTTATATTTCACCAACTGACATATTTGGTTTAGAATTTACTTTGGAATACCGTGTGTAATAAAATTACCTCTACTATCTTCTATCGTTGTACTTTTAGGCAGTTACAACCATTATCGGCCTTTCAGAATAACTGCCTTTGTCGGGCTTTCAGAATGGTTTTGCTTCAGTTTTATTTTAACTATAGCAAAACAGACAAAAGCTACATGTCAAAAGGAAGGGATGTCTTGTTGGATGATTTTCTTAAGGAAACTGGCTCGTATTCACGTTATACATGGGAAAACCCACAAAATCTTCCATGCATCCAGCCTGTTCGCTGAGAATTGAACTCACATCAAACTACCACTGTACAGTGTCTTTACTCCTAGGCCACTGGTGAGCTCCTTTCAGAATGTGTAAGATATGTATGATACGGAATTTGCTGCAAGTCAAACAATACGGGGAATATTTCGATAGTCGTTTGGATCGTACGCTTGAATTCGCAGTTCGTAGCCTTTTAATTTTCCTTGGAATTCACTAAAAATGGTTGGCCGTTGGATACTAACAGGTTCAGGCTCAGGAGTTACTACTGAAGTCTCAGTTTGGTATTCCTGGGTTCCAACAATAAGCTGTTCGTGATATCTAATTTTATTCTCATACACGGCATTCAATCTCGTGGAACTTACATATTTCTCGTTGGTTGGCAACAGAGTGTTAAAAACGGAGTTGCATATAAACTCACAAAATTTTATTTAATGAACTTGATAAAATTCTTGGAAATGTTTCCTTATAACATTTACATAGTAATCGATAGTATCTACACTAAAATGTCTTAGCAAAGAAGATACCACTTTTGATGTGTCATGGTCACAGATTATTCGCAAAAACACTATAGCAAAATTTGAAAAATGTCACGCAGGATTAATATTTGCAGCTAACCTGTTATTATGGTTTAGATCTTTACTATAACTTCCTTCCATTTCCTGATGAGAAGGTAAAATGTGTTAAAATGTATTTAAGCTAAATTTTGGGGTTATAGGGCACAAAGTGTTTCTAAAAATCGTGGCCATGTTCTGCCAAATTCGATAAGTTTGCGGGACTTTGGCTGTGCGTTATTGCTGCCTATATTTAAATTGATAAACCGGTTAGAGATTCTGGGTCAGCTTAGTTTTAAATAAAATTGTGTAGTCTCCGAGTACTAGCCTGCGTTTTAAATTTGAATTTTACTGTTAGTTTAGTTATTTCTCCACAAATGGATGTCGATCCTGTTAGCACAAAGAGTGTGTTTATATTCAAAGTTGTGTTTAAATAACAATGTTTTTTCAAAACGTTTCCAAGACTTTGTAGTTAATTTTAGACACAGCGATAATTCGCTTAAGGTTAACTAGGGTTTAGAACTAGTTTATACTCCCAAAGCAAGCCAAAATCTATAAATATACAGTGTCCCTCTAAAGACCGCACAGGACAGTACCCTTTCTGAAGAAGTGAATACAGCTTCTGAAATCCAAACCTTTCTGCAGACCAAAATCCCACTGAAAAGCAGAAATACTGTAAGGTCCAAAATGTCATACCGGTTACGATTCTGTCCCTCGATTTAAACTATGTTGCTTTCCATAGTATGTGCAAAACCATTTGGAGTGACACATTATGTGACTCATAGAGTATTTCCTTTCTTATAGCCTTCAAAATGTGTCTTTAACTATAAATATCACAAAATATGTATCATTAAATATTGTGTTACGGTTGTAGTATAAGATCTCTACTTTTTTATAATCAGTAGTATTCGTTTTTCTAAATTAATGCCACATCAGAGTTTATTAATAGTTCATTTACATGAAATAATGGTTTAAGCCTTTATCTTGCAAAGTTTTAGAAAAAGCAAGGTAAATTTAGTAACATACTGATTTTCGTTAAGTTGAGGAGTAAACGGAAAATTCATAACTCAGTAAAAGACTCAAAAGAAATTTGGTGAAAATCTTTGTGAAATTATGTAACTCAAGGATTTTTAAAAAGCAATCAACGCCCATCATAATGACCTTTCACGTCCTAACCGGAAAAATAGTTATAAAGAGAAGTAGCTGCAACAAAATTAACTTTGATGAATTCACAGCGTTTCTACACCGATTCTTAAAATAAAACGGTCATAATTATGAGCGGTGAGCGGTTTTATAGAGAGTATCAACTGTATTTGATTTCAAACGCATTTTATTTGAAAACCAACACATTTATATTGGATATCATATAGACAGATATGCATATAGATACATAGATAATTATAAATTCATACGTATTTCATATAGACATACAGAATAAAAAAATTTTCTTTGACAACACATTGAAAGATAACACAAAAGTACTGCCACCTTAGCCTAAGATAAACTCACAAAAGTTAAATATAGACAGAGTTTTATCACATCTAGAAAGATTTTGCTTTGCATATGAAAGTGTTCTTTGATCCCTGTAATTTCATTTTTAAGCGATGTTAAAGAGAAGAATTTTCTCGCTCTTACTTCCTATGAGAAGATTTTTCCCAGAGAAAATGCTTCTCGGGATGATTTATATGCTTGTTCTATAGAAGCAAGAACGGTTCATTAATTTTAGACCTTTTCAAGATGACTGTTGAATCTCTGTTAAAAATATCTGTACCTGGGAGGAGAGAGAGAGAGAGATGAAGAGTACATTAAATACGTCACACCGCGTAAAGCTCCTAAAACTGCAGCCACTCTAAATTCACGGCGGAGTAAACTGCAATGAAATTTTATGAGATGGTAGTATATTATATGGCACTTAATGTTTCAACGAAGTAATTGTTTGTAACAGCTAAACATGACATTTATATCAGGATACTTAACTTTAAAATAATAATCAAAAGAAAGAAATTTAGGAAGTTTTATTTCTGAGCATTTGATATTAGTGGAATTACTTTTTGAATGAACCACTTCTTAAGAGTCTTGACAGGTAAGACAAGCATGCATTTTTAGTTTTATTTGCCTATTTTAAAGTTGTACTTCATTACCCATTATTTATGTTTTTTATAGCTCTCTAAAACTCTCTTGAGGAATCTTTCCTGTTCTATAATACTTCAAATATGTTTTTTAGTAAAAGTCTGCTTCAGTATATTATTTGAATAGTATATTGTTTGCAATTTCATCATAAATATTAAAATAAATTTTTATTTCTGACGAAGGCACATTTCTAATTTATTTATATTCTCCGAAATTTTCAAAACCCTTTCTCACTATTTCGTTCATACGTCTCTCAAAATATACATAAAATCGTCTACAGAAATAATAAATCGTCTACAGAAATAATAAATCGTCTACAGAAAATCTACAGAAAAAAATAATAAATCGTATAAAATCGTCTACAGAAATATATACATGAAAATAATTAAACATGAGAACATTTGAAACTAAACTTTCTTAATATTTATTAAAGGTAAATTATTCTTAATACTTCTTTCAACTGCATATCTTCTTGAGATAACCATTTTATTCATTCATTATTCATTTATAATTATAGACTGAATCATCAAATACTTTACCGCTTACTTTGTAAACATCCAACTCTCCACAAAAGTTATCGAATCGAGTGTAGAGATTATTCAGAAGGTCAATAACCATAAGAGGTGTTGCTGTCGAGCAGATAGATGTAAAGCCAACTATATCAGAAAATAGCATAGTAACATTTTCCCTCTGCTCTGCCTTGACTGTTTCACCTGTTTAAATAAATTGCGTAATTAAGTTTTAATTCTAAAATTTCTTTTTTAAAATTATTTTATATTAAATGTTACTAAAATACGTTGAAGAATCTGAAAACTTTATAAGATTATCTCACTTGAATGTAATAACATCTAAAAGTAATTGTTTACTGCACCAATAAAGACCAATACAAACCAATAAAGAACAATACATTGAAGAAATTAAACAAATATTTTTAGCTTGCATAATGCAAGTGCATTTTTCTGTATTGCTATATATATATATATACAATGCCTTGGATAATTAAATATTTTAATCTCCGTGCTATGAATCTTAGATTTTAGCTGCAATATCAAAAGTTAATAAGTGATAATTCATTAATGTTTATAATTTTCTACACAATTTTTTAATCATAGATATTTTTTTAATCATAGATACTTCTTATCGCATTTAAACAACATTTTCTATTGAAACACATATTTAGTCATAACGTAATTTAAATACTACGCTGTTTTTTAAAAAATCAATTGTATTTAAAAACACATTTTATAAATAAGTACAAAATAGTTGAAGTTTGTCATAGTGAAATACGAACATACATCAACGAAATATTGCAGCTACCCATCTGTGCGAAAATATTTTTTTCTGTACACCAAATATCAGAGTAAAAATGCATAGTAATTTCGCACGAAATTAGAAAATATAACTTTACTTCTATCCCTTTAGTCTGATGGACGTTTTAAAATATTACTTTAGTTTCCAAGATTAGCAGTTTTTAAGCAATGAATGCAAAACTCCGGAGAAAAGTGTCATATGAAGCCATGTGTTCATTTTTTGGGAGGGGATTTACTTTAAAAGTAAGCGCACGTACTTTTAAAGCAAACATACGATTATATTAATCTCATCATATCTAAAATAACAAGGGAATACAAATAAAATTATTTATTTACTCAGTCACATTCATTTCTGATATTTTGCAATACTTTTTAGTCCAGAGTATTCTTAGGTTCCCAGGTTCCCTTTAAATGTACATAATCAAAAGAAGATTACAGAAATGTATGCAAAATACATCCGTTCATTTCTAAAAATATCATTATAAGATAAAACTGCACTAGGCCAAATAGCTTAGAGCTAACCTCAATCTAAATAATATATTTTAATGTTTAGTAAAATAATAAAAGAAACATATTTGCTACGTATTTGGCTGAAAAGGAAACTATAAATATGCTAATATTTTTATAAATACAATATATATTTCATTAATTATTAATTAACTACCATTTAAAATAATAAATGAATATGTTCTGTTTTCCAGCTTATTAATTATTTTTTACATGCCGAATTAAAATATTATTCCAGAAATGACATATTGCTAATTCTAATTCTATTACATAGAATACAGTAGCGCAATGTTTTCCTTTACATTATTAATCGGATTAATGGCTGCGGTTTTTGATATATAGTTAATGATGTTTTTTCTTCGATCCCATGTTTTTTGAGGCCAATACAAGGCATAACGTATTATCTTTTTCAAAAATCCAGTCACTGCTATTTAATAACATTCCAAATGGAACAAAATTTTAGTAGAACATGAGCTGATGATCATGTGTTACTGACAATTCATTGATCGTAAAATGTTATTTTCCTCCTGTACTCATGTAATTAATCTTGCCTGTCTTTCCGTAGGTTCCGCAGGTTTTTGACACATATCATACCAGTTATTAAATTACTGTAAGTTTCGTATAAGCCTAATTTTCTAACCTAATAATGCGACTGTTTTCCACTTACTTGACTTTGTCATCATAATTTTTATCCAATTCAGTTTCTTAGTTTTACATTTCTTCAACATAAATTGTCTTTCGGGCCTTCTAACAAATTTAACATTCTGATTTCGCCTCAGACATTATTATTCAAGAGATTCCAGTGCCAATTTGAGCACTAGATACTTTGGTGAAATTCGACCGAGCAGTTTATTTCGATGGCATATTTTTCATGGATGATAAATGGAACAAAATGATGATAAATGGAACATACTTTTTCCAGGTTTTTTTCATTTCTACAACAATTACATGTTGTAGAAATGAAAAAAAAAACTCAGTTCATTTCTACATGTCTTTGCTACAGTATTTCGCATAGCATCAACAAATGTATAAAATTATTCACCTATCAATAAGACTGATTTCACCAAGTCAAAAGAACACTCTTCTTCAGTAACTATTCATTGAAAATTGGAATATTGCTGAAATATTTTAATGGTACTAAAAATTCATGAAACCAGATTGACTGTTTAATAAATTATTGATAAAATACTAGAGCGCTGTCTGTAAAAGAGTCCGTCTACACGAGGAGCCAAATTTGCTCAGAGACATAATAAAGTCATTCTCCCAGAAATCTCGCCTGGACAGCATTTCGTCTAAACAAGACGATTTTCTGTGTTGCTCTGAGCTATAAAGCCAGCCAGAGCAGTCAGAGAAAAATATGTGATTTTTATTCAACAAGAAGCCTGCATGGATCTCACAAAAAGCACAATTATTTGCAAACCTTTATTGCCCTTATTTTTCATGACTTAATTTTTAAAACAAGTTGTAATATTTTAATAGCAATAGCAAATGGGAACCTTAATAGCAGACAGAAGGTAACAGTAATTTAAAATTAAAATACAAAATGCGAAGAATAAATAAAAATCATATACTGAAAGAAATAAAATAATGAAGCATGAAAGGAAAACAAGTCATTGTAAAATATAATGCGTAATTTATGTATGGGCATTATTAATAATTCTGTGGTTATATGTTTAGGGAAGTGGTTAATTTTTAGAGGATTGGGCTTGGAGATTTGTAGATTCAGAAAAACTGCAACCTGAGCGGAATCTAAAACTTTTTCTCATGTACGGCGAACTGTTCTCCAAAATAAAACGTACAATACGGCACCTAGCAGCAAGCTGCTTAAAGAAGCTTTTACGAATGGGAATATAATTTCCACGAATTCATTCCATTCCAGTCTCATTTGCAATGGATATATATTATCATGCATTTACATAAAAAAGAAAACCGATATTACTTTACATATAGCATAAAATACAACATACCTTGCTGATAATTCGAATTATAATGAAACATCATTTTAAAGAAAGATGAAGAAGAGAAACAGGAAATAAAGATGAATAATAAGTTTTAACACTTTATAAATAACGTAAAAACGTACTGAATAATTTTTCTATTTAAATAATTTATATAAAACTATTATACAATTAATTAACTGATGCAAAATTTTATCTGTAATGATAAAATAAAGTAACATAAATAAAACATTTCATGTATGATAATTAAATAACGTAAAATTATCTGTTACATGCAAAAGTTTCATTTTTTTACATTAATAGAAAAATTTTAATTGCATAATTATATAAACAATAAAAGATTTATTTCCAGTGAATAAATCAGAAAAGAACTCAGCTGGATCTGAACTAACAAATTGCTGCTTTGTACAAAATTTAACACTTCATTAAATGTGCCAAGCGATCGAACTACCTAGACCTAGTGTAAGCTTTTCAAAAATCATTTAACTATAGAAAATCCGAAAGAGAATCAAATGCAAACAAACAAAAAATTAAGTTTTTATTGTATGTCAGATTTCTCGAAACATAAGAAATAATCATGGCCTTAAACATGAAAACATATTCTGCCATATTTAGATAACGCTAGCAAATGAGGTAAAAATAAATGTACATCTATAGCTTACAATAAGACATCATACTGTAATTAAAGTGAAAAGAATATTCTGTTATTTCTAAAATCCATCGCTTTATAAATTAAGTTTGTTAAAATAATGACTCCGAACAGTTCACGGCATATGTTATTTAGCAAGCCATGTTCTAAGTAAGCAGCAGCGTTCATTGCTTTTCCGACACTCTGTTTCCTTATGTGTCACCAAATAAGCCTCCCGCGCCATTGTATCAAATCATGTTCAATATAAGCAGGATTCCTGGCGCAGGCGCCGTTGACATGTGTCTGACAGGTCGGAGACTTGTTTCCGTTCTGTAAACGGACTGCAGGCCTTCTCGTGTCAACAGGCTACTGTGATGTAAAGCCTGTTAGGAGATTTCAAAAGAAATTAAGTTCCCATTTATATTGCAAGAGGCAATAACGAAAATTCAAAACCAGTCAGTTTCTTCTGCTCTTAGAGGTCAAGCCTAGACAAAACTACAGAGATTTTACAAGTTTTGACGCTCACCCATATATGGGTCTTAAAAAAATGAGAATTTTAGAAAATACAAGTACTTAAAACTTAAAACAATATACTGTTGTTCAAATTTAATATTCAAAGCTTAGAAAGCAAAGAGTTTTATTATTCGAAAGTACTAGGATGCTTTTAAGCAATTAATTCATTAGGAATCTTTTTTTATCAAATTCGAAAACACTACCTATTTCAAATACACTGAAATGCTAAAACTGTATAATTGGTTACTTTATGCAATGCTGACCAAATGGTGAATGAATGAATATGACTCCTGTTCGCCAAATAACATCAAAACCTATTTTATTCAACTAGGCGTTAACGATGCAAAATTTTTTAAAGATGTATTATAGTTTCTGGGACCAAAAAAGTGTCAACATATCCTTTAAAATCTTTTCTGTAATTAGGTCGTCAAAATAATAAATTTATTTTCCCTATTTTTAAATGTTTTTTATGTTTCGCAATCCAGAGTGAAATATCATTATTGATTCTCTAGTTAGTCTGATCTTTGTGTAGTGGTGAATTTAGAGGATTGATAGTCTTGGATTAATTTACTGTACAATTCTAACTCATTAATTACTGAAATATTTCTTAAACTTACGCAAAGGGGTAAATTCAGTAACGTTCTAAATTTAATCCTATCAACATCAATTACACGTCAGTTATTTAAGATAGTAATCCTTGCTCATAATACATATCTAAAAATATTTTGAAACGCTACTTCATCATCAAGACGTACAAAAAACAAAATATAAAAAATTAGAATAAAAGTAAACTGATT